TCGCGGCGGTGCTCAGCGGACCGGCGCGGTGCAGGTGCCGGACGCCGACTGGAAACGTGTGCGGGACCTCGGGCGCCACAACTCCGGTTCAGCAGAGACCGTCGACAATACCAAAGGTCACGGCCGGCACGCAGAGCCCACCCCCGCGTTCGGCCCGACTCTCACTCTGTCCCGTCAGCCTCCACTAAACGCCGCCGGCCCCGCCGCACACGCGTGCGCGCCGTTCGTCACCGCCGCCGCAAACACGCCCTTCGTAACGGCAGTGTCCGGCGGCGCCGACTGCAGCGACGACTGCTTCCCACTCGACGCGCGCTCGGACAGCGACGACGACAGCGAAGATGACGACAGCGAGCCCCAGATCGCACTCTACGCTTCCGAAAACGACCGCCGGCCCAACTACGGAGACGCGAGCTATGGAAACGAGCGTTACGGTACTTGTAACTCGAACTACACCTCCAGCTATGCGGCGAAGTGTGCGGCGGACTATGCAAACCCCGGCTACGTTGCGTCCTCGAACTGCGCTAACCCGAGTTACGCCAACACGAACTTCGCTGCGGGTGCGGGACTCAATTATGGCGTCGCGGTTGCGGGTTCGAATCAAAGCGGTGCCGCTTTGAGTCCGGGCTCCGCTGCGGGAGGGAGGTACGAGCACTATTCGAGTTGCAGTTCGTCGGAGTGGTCTGGTCAGGTTCGCGCGTCGACTAATGGTTGTATGTCAGGTCTCGCAGAGCCCCGACCGGCGGGTGGCGGCGGGGTCGCCAGTTCAAATCCAAGCACCAACAAACCAGAGTCCCGGGCAGCGAGGTTCGGGCTGGGTACGGGGTCACCGCCGTTGCCATCTCGCGAGTTCGGGAAACCGCGGAGTCAGGTACGGCGTGGCGAAGCGCACTTGGTGAAGGCCGCGGTGGTTTTTAAAAATGTCAGCCAGTGAACTTTCCTCGTCCACCTCGTCGGGCTCGGCCCCGTCGGCCTCGGCCTCGGCCTCAGCAGAGCTGGACCATTGGACTCGCGTGTGCAACCTGGTCCAGCAGGCGGCCCGGCCACTGCGGCTTCGGCAGAAGATCTCGATGCTGAACGCCATGGCACAGCACGCCGCCGCGGCCACCTCACCACCGCCGCCACAAGTCTACGCACTTCTACTCGACGTCTACCGCACCTGCGCCCGCCAATTCCCAGACCGCCAACACCCGCTTCTTAAACCGCCCGCCAAGACCCTACTTTTCGCGCTCCAGGATAAAGACGCTCCCGAGTGGTTCTGCAACGAACTCAACAACCTCCTAAACGCAAAGACTGCCACTCAACAAGAAGAAGTCCTCGATCTTGAGTTCGGAGCCAAACCCATGAGCCAGTCTATGGCTATGGGTGGACAGCCAATGGGGAGGCCGCCGGACGGCCGCATGGGCGAGGCCGTGCCCGGTGGCATCGCTGTGGGGTGGGCCCCTGCAGTGGTGGCCACTGGTGCGGGCCCCTGGGAAAGTGGCCAACCGATCAATGACGACTCGGCCACAGGATACGACTTGAACTTCGGTGGCGCTGACTCCGCACCTGGAACCAATCCAGGCTTCGCCCTCGAATCAGTCTCTAGCATGGCGCCCACGTCAGGAATACCGCCCTCTGGTCTTGTAAGCGGACCCATGCTGAACCTACCCGGACAGACTCACTACCCCGGACAACCTGGCTTCCCTGGGCAAGCTCACTTCCCTGGCTTCCATGGGCAACCCGGCTTCCTCAGCCAGCCCGGCTTCCCCGAACAACCGACCCTGTCCGGACAACCTGGCATGTATGGACAGTCTGGTGTGTCCGGACAACCTGGCTTGTCCGCTTTCCCTGAACCAAATAGCTCCTCCGACCTTTCGAGAACGCCGGAGAGGGTTCCCGAGAGCATTTCGGAGAATATTTCCGAGAACGCTGGAGAAAAGATCCTGCCGTCTGCGGTGGCTGGGACCTTCAAGGTAATGACATGGGAAGACAAGATGGGCATTTTGAACGATTTCGGTTGTCACCAAAACCTACAGGAGTTGGAGTCGGCGATCCAGCAGGCAGGAATGAACGGGACCCTGGTGCCGAGTGAAGATGCTTACACTCTTCTCCGAGAAATTACTTGGCTACAGAGCATCCAGTTCTGGGAGGACTGGGATCCAGCGCGAGCCTACCGGCTGGCGTGCCTTGCGAACCAAGTGGCTCTCGGAATGGCGAGCGGTGGTCTCAGCGACCCACGACCAAGTGCTGGAGTACCAAGTGCTGGAGCACCAAGTGCTGGAGGACCAAGTGCTGGAGCACCAAGTGCTGGAGCACCAAGTGCTGGAGGGCCAGGTGCGGGAGTACTGAGTGCTGGAGGACAAGGGCCAGCGATACTGGTGCCTGGCTTCGGCGGTATGTCTCCGCATGGAGAAGTGCGCATATTGCCGAATCCGGAGTCGTTGGGGTACCAGTCGGCCGGTTTCCCGTTTGAGGGGTCGCCTTCGCGGAAGCGGCATCCGGCGCCAGAAGGGTTGCCGTCGTCGAAGCGGGTCATGTTAGGTGGCGTGTCGGGCGTGGCGGTGCAGCGATTGCGGGCGAAGCACACCGTGTGTGCCTGGTGCGCAAATTCCTGGTCCGCAGATGGCGGGTGGCCAG